CAAATCAGCTTCTAGAGATTCTTCTGAAACKTTTGTACATAGAATTCCTCCTGAAGTCTCCAGGTGGAAAAACATTAAACAATGTGAATAAGATGCATGTTGAATATTTAGGCTACGACTCGACCTGAAGGGAGGAACAGACGGCACTTCCTGTCCAACAGGAACCAATCAGCATTTGTTTCATTCCTTAGCATCACAATAATCTTACAACCCCAATTCCAATGAAGTTGGGACGTTGTTTAAACAAAAAACTAAATATGATCTTCTGTAAATCATTTTCAACTTATATTCAATTAAATACAAGATATTTAATGTTCAAACGGATAAACTTTATTGTTTTTTTGCAAATATTCACTCATTTTGAATTTGATACCTGCAACACGTTCCAAAAAAACAAAAACAAAAAAAAGAGCCGTCTCTTTTTTTTGTTTTTGTTTCAAACCGCACCAACAGAAAATGTAAACAATTTGATAGTGCATGTTTACCACTGTGTTACATCACCTTTCTTTTTAACAGTCATTAAGCATTTGGAACCTGAGAACACTAATAATTGTTGAAGCTTTGTAGCTTGATGAACAACTTCAGTTGCTCAACAGTTCGAGGTGTGCCACACATTTTCAATGGGAGACAGGTCTGGACTCTAGCTGACCCTTACCTTCCTACGCAGTTCTGCTCAATTCTAGTTTCCCTTCTCTGCTCCGTCTGGGACTTCTCCCACAGACAGGCTTTTGTTTGGTAGAATCTTACCTGAGCCAATCAGCCAACAGAAGGAGGGGTTTTAAACGACAATGTCGATTTTCTGCACAGTGTCTGCTAGTTATTTTAGCATACGGCAGTGGAGGAAGTGAATGAAGCCAGTCTGTGTTGATAAGGCTTCCAAATTAAATTAAATTTGTCTGACAAAGCAGCAGCTCTCATTTACAGTCGTCTCGTTTGACACTGTACTTCTCTCCTCTCAGTAGGGGATATAGTTTACAGAACACGGAGTTTCCAGTTAGCTTCTTAGCTTAGCCTCCTTCACAGTGGAGCTGGCTGTCTCAGCCAACCAATCCAATTGTTTTAAACTTCAACAGAGACCACGCCTCCAGGAAGCAATTGCTTCTCAATAGCCAAGAGTCCAGACCCTCTGTACGAAGCAAAGTCAAATCAAATCAATTTTATTTATAAAGCACTTAAAACAGGGGCAGCTGACACAACATGAGGGGCCAAAAACAATAAAACAAATCAACACAAAAAACACTCAAACATTAAAAACAAGCAAAAAACAGCTAAAAAATACCAAAATCTCAAATTGTGTTAAAAGTCAGTGAATAAAAATAAGTTTTAAGATTAGTTTTAAAAACAGGCAATGAGGAAGCCTGCCTGACGTGTAGAGGTAGCTCATAGCCCAGAGCTTCAGAGCAGCAACTGAAAATGCTCCATCCCCTCTGAGGGTTAGCTTTGTCCTGGGTATTTTAAGGTGCAACCGATCGGCTGACTGATGCCGTGCAGGGACACRGGTGGAGAAGCTCTGAGAGGTAAGATGGGGCAAGGCCATGTAAAGATTTAAAAACAAACAAAAGAACCTTAAAACGAACTCTAAAATGCACAGGCAGCCAGTGGAGRGAAGCCAGAATGGGTGTGATGTGCTCCCTTTTACATGTTCCAGTTAGCAAACGATTAGCAGCATTCTGAACCAACTGGAGCCGTGCAACGGAGGACTGGCTAACTCCAGCGTGAAGTGCATTACAGTAATCCAGCCGTGAGGTGATGAGGGCATGGATTACTGTTTCAAAGTGCTGGTGCGAGAGAAAAGGCTTCACGTTTGTCTGAGGTGGAAAAAGCTTGACTTCACTACAGCACTAACTCGGCTCAATCTTAAAATTACTGTCCATCTTAAAACAAAGCAATGAACAAGGGGCAGATTTTTACCTGGCTAGGTCTGGACCGCGGACAGGCCAGTCTAGAACCTGCAGTGTTTTACTACAAAGCCAGGCTGCTGTAACACATGCAGAATGTGTCTTCATTGTCTTGCTGAAATAAGCAGGGTCTCTGAAAAAGACGTGGCTTGAATGGCAGCATATGTTGAGGGATCAAAACTCACGAGCATTCATAGTTGGTTTTCGGCCTTGCTGCTTGCAAAGTTTTGTCCAGATTCTCTGAATCCTTTGATGATATTATGGACTGTAGATGATGAAATTCATTTTTTGTTTTGTATTTGTACGTTGAGAAATGTTCTTAGACAGTTGGACTATTTTCTCATGCAGTTGTTCACAAAGTGATGAACCTCATCAAATCCTTGCTTGTGAACTACCAAGCCTTTTATGGATGCTCCCTTTACACCTAATCACGAAATTCACCTGTTTCTAATTAACTAGTTCACTTGTGGAATGCTCCAAACAGGTGTTTTTTGAGCACTCCTCAACTTTCCAGCCTTTTTGGAGAATGTTGCAGCATCAAGGTCAAATAAATTGCAAAGAAAACAACAACTGAATTGGGGTTGTATTTCCAATTTCAATTCCAACTAATGCATCAGTTTGTTTTTGTTCCAAATTCTTAATTTATATGAAAAACTTTTTAAGATTCTGTTTTGCTCAAGTTTACTTTTTCTTTTTTTACCTCAGACTTATTTAAATTTAATAACCTTCAGTATTTCAAATTATTTTTTTTTTATTTGGATTACTAATTAAATACTTTATTCTTGTTTTTAGATATATTTTACAATTCTTAGTAATTTCATTTGAATTTTTCATGTTTTTGTAGCCAATTTCTTTCTTGAACTGTAGTTTTTAAATTCCAAAATTTCAGTCCCCAAACTGCCAAAGTTCTGTAACAAGAAGCTTCAAATCTTTTTGAAGTTACTTTTTTTATTTCAGTTACACGAGTTTTTCCCATAAATTAAATCTAAAAGGATTTTTGTCATCAGTCTTTGTGCCTCACACAAGTTTTAATACAATTTGCACCTTTTTATTGTAAATGACTTAAATTCTCACATATTTGTGTTTTTCCAAATTCTAATTTTGTAAAATTTTAAACTTATAAAATCTTTAAATTTGGTGTCTTGAATCTCGGGTTTTAAACATCCAACAGAACTGTCAAAATAAAACCAAGCTATAATTGAATCTCTTAAATCTGTTAGAATTTTATTTAAATAAATTAAAGATTAGGTGAATATTTCTCTTCCTGTTTCCTGAAAAGTGATGTAATTAATTGTAGAATAGATTTTATTTATTCAGTTTGACCTTAATAAACATTTTTGCACTTTAAACAGAATTCATTTCACGTTAAATTAAAAAAGATCAGTTTTTGACACATTTTCTTCCATAAAATGAACGTTTACGAGGATAAAAAGATTTGCTGATCTTTTTATCAAACACAAACCACATTCTTATAGTTTTATATCTTTACATGTCTGTATGTGAATGAATAAAAGCAGCCTGAACGCCAACTTTATAGTTTGTATTTTTATTATTGATTTTTTTTCTAACAATAAAAAAATTAATAAAAATGGACTGGTGACCTGTCCGTGATGTGCCCTGCCCCTCGCACTGTGACTGCTGGATATGGGCACCAGTGACCCCGTGACCCTGAAAGGAAGAAACAGGTATAGATAATGGATGGATGGACATTAAAAATTCAAATTTAAATTGATGTTAAAATTGATGTTGTTGCTTGTTTGTAATGAAATCCAGGATATTTTACTATTTAACTCAGATGTCAGGTTTTCAGAGCTATACTGCAGTGGGTTTGGATTTATGTAATGATAAAGCTGTTTAAAAGTGCATTGACATATTTGTCAATGGCTTTAGTTTGATGTCTGTAATATCGTTATTATACTGTAAACAACAAATGACTCTTTGTTTATGCTAAGCATAACTCCTAAGCTTCCATTTCAGTAACACAGTCACTCAGTGAATGTTATCCGATGATGATATTTTTGCAAACATGACGGTAGCAGTTTTCGATGTGTAGCACCAACAGATAGACCTAGCTATCGAGCCGTGCTATGGTAGGAAAATCTGACAACGTAGCACAGATCGTCTGACCACCGGCCTGTAAGGACATATTAAGTTTGCTCCCTCCTCCTCCCACTACACTGTATCTGCTCCCCTGCAGAAGCTGCAATAGCGCCCCAACACCTCACCCCMTGCTCTACCAGGGTAAATTAGAACCCTTGTGTCTGGAGGAAATCATCACGTGCTCAGCACAATCCCCCACAGTGAAGCGATGGCAGCATAGTGGGTGTTGCAGCTTGAGGGAGAAGGACACTGGTTCTACAGAGTTCAGAGGCAGAGTGGTTAGGGGGAGTTGTCCTGGAACTGGAAGGTCACYGGTTCGATCCCACGTCCAGCTGTCTCAGTTGTGTCCTTGGGCAAGACACTTCACCCCTAATGCCTCTGATGTGTCCCATCAGTGTATGAATGTGATTGGCACTGATTAGTCTCCATAGCTGATTGTACATGTTAGCTTTGTAGAGACCTAATAGAGTGCTGTGTGAAAGGGTAAATGAGGACACAGATTGTAAAGTGCTTTGAGTGTCCTGGTTGGGTAGAAAGGCGCTATACAAGTACAGTCCATTTACCATTCAGGACCTCAGACTGGACCAAAGTTTCCCTTTCTGGCATGACAATGACCCGAAACAAGGTGAAGACACACCAGGATGTCTCAGAGACACTGACCAACTACAGTCCAGACCTGAACCCCATCCAACATTTTTGTAGAGACCTGAAAATAGCTCCACCGACAGCTCCCATCCAACCGGACCGAGTTTCAAAGGATTTACAACCCAATACCCCAACAGTGATGAGTGAAGGAGGTCTGAATACTTTCTGCAGAAATAGGTTTGACTCAGTGAGGTCTTTCTTGACTCAGGCCCTTTCCCAATCAGTGGCTACACACTCGCCCTACTCCCTGCTCACTCAGTTTGTGCGTTCCCGCGGAGGGTTGGCCATATTAAGTCCCATCTGAAACCAATTGGGTACAAGGGCGAGTGGCTTATTAAGCCCTCCACAGCGAGTCTACATCCAGTGCAGACTTGATCAGCAGGTGCAGCACCAAAGAGTGGTCGACATGGAGCACGGACGTATAAATATAAGTTCCGCATTTGTTTTGTACACATATTTACTAAGTAAACACCTCACCAACAAATATAATTTCACATAAATCATGTTTAATTCAATTAAAACTTTATTAAAGACACAGAACCATGGTCCACATTTAAAAAAAGAATAAAGAAACATTTAAAAAATAAAGAATAAATAAATAAATTATTTAAAAAATGTTAAAAGTGCTATTATTTTGACAAGTTATCACACTGTGTTTGTTACAAATACATATTCATTTCTGAAAATTCTAAAATGTGGGCCTAATTCAATTATTATTTTTTGGTCCTATTAAAAAAAAGTTTGTTCTGCAGTCAGTCGCTGCCAGAGGTTGGACTGTTACCGTGGTGACGACAGCTTCCTGTTCCGGTGGCGTGATGAGAGCCCGTCTCAAAAGAGGAGGGTGTATACAGTGCCATCAAGGGGACTCAGTTCAGCTGCGAGGGGGCTTCACAGCGAGTGTAGTTTGTAGGGAGTAGGGCAAGTGTGTAGCCACTGATTGGGAAAGGGCCAAAGGCACCATCCAGACAGCAGCATGTCTTCCGGAAACAGAACCTCTCAGGGGTTGTACCACCAGGTGGTGCCACAGTAAGCTTCCCTCGTTCCAGTTCCCTCATGCTTGAACTGTTGGACTTGCTTGAACTACAGGCCATCTTCTCACGTATCCAACAATCTGTGAGGGTTTACCTCCTGTCACCCTCAGAGCAAACACACAAACATGGTCTGACCTGGTTGGAAGTCTGCTAATCCCATCAGGCACCTGAGCGATCAGACACACCACATGGTTAATCTGACCCATTAATGACCGGCCTTTTTTTTTCTGTTTCAGAGGATCCTGATGAGATTACCGATGCACTCAGACATCTGTTGRTTAACATCAGATCATTCCACTGATCTGCTGCTCCTCCTCAGTCTGACTCTGCTCTGCTTCTTGTTGGTCTTTATTCTCAGTTTTGGAAACCACGCAAGCTACGACCTGACAGCTTTGTTGTTTTCACTTTATTTTTTTATCAGCGTAGTGAAGACTGGATGTTGATTTCTGAATAACAAACCCATCAACACCCAGAGGTCTGAGACAGAAACGCAACAAAGAAACTTGGAACAGGAAATTACATGTCCAGCTAAAAGAAACATGAATTTAAAGAAAGCAATTTTTCAGTCCAGTGATGCTGTGAGGAATGAAGCTGAAGAAGTCGACTGATGTGGACTGAAGAGTGACAGAAGAACCAGGATAATAAAAAGTCTCAACATAAAGAAACTAGAGTAAGAAGATTACTCAGAAGACACGCCGACTTCAAGAAGACGATGATGGATTAAACTGAAGCAGGAGTTCTCACAGCTTCAGACAATTACATGAAACCTGTGAGTACAGTTTATCTTTTATCACAACAAACTAAATTTAATTCTTCAGGTTGCTTCTTTTTGAACCATCCGATCTAATAATCCTCTCAGAAAGTCCAACAAAGACCTGAACACCTGTTCGCAAACAGGAGACAACGAAGCAGTGTTTGAGACACTGGTAGTTAAAAGATCAAAGGTTCATAAAATTTAAAGCACTTCTTAAAGTGCTGATTTCTTCTTACGTCTTATTTATATCTGTTGGTTAAATTGTGATCTAAAATATTATGGTTCGTTTAATTACAACATATATTAATGCTGTTGATTTACTTTAACTGAATTCATGGCTTGTGGATGGGAATGTTGTGTGTAAAAACACAGATGTGAATGCTTATCTTTGTAACTTGTTAATTTAGCTTGCAGAGTAGAGTTACTTTTATGACCCGCTGTTAGACAGGTGGGTCGGGGTAAAATAAATCGAGGACCTGGGGAGAACAGGAGATTGCATGGTCATATAACAGGAAGACACTCAGCCCTCTTTGAAGGGGACTCTTTAAAAACCTGACTGTTGTACAGAAATACAATTCATCTTCTTGACATCGTATGTATTGTACCATGTCTGTATATGAATTCCTTGCGGCAAGTAAAAAGAGAGCTCAGCCAGAACTGCTGTTTGTTCGTCATTCCTTGAGTCTTGATAATTAATTTATCTAATATCTGATAAATATATATTATTATTAATATATATTTATATTTTTCCCAATTAAAAACATACATGAAAGCATGCGCCCTGATCAGTGACTTCTGCCTGTTGGCAGCAGAATATTGAAGAGCCTAAACAGAATTTCACTAAAAACTGATAAATGTTCCCACAGACGTCAAATGGTTGAAGCAAGTGGTAAAAACCAGCCATGTTCAGAGCAGAACGCTCAGACACGTTCTACAGCAGAACTGTATAGATTTTTTTTTATTTCAGCATTTTTCCCAAACAAAACACATCTTATACTACAAACTTTCCTTTTTGTCTACAGTTGCTCATTCCAAACTTTTTGGGTTGTCATCCATAAAATAAGGACTCCTCCTTTTTTGACCATTAAATGTTATGTCCTGTGTTGAACCAATATGGCTTTTGCGATGTGTTTCGTATTTACTTAAATGTCCATAAATGGATCAAATTCTCAATTTATTTAGTATATGTTAAAACTTAATATATAGAGTTTATTCATTTCATTAAAAAACAAAACAAAACAAAACACATTCCATACAACTAACAATGCAAATCAAATAAAATGAAAAGTAGCAGCAGAAGAAAAAAATCTTATATCTGCTCCTACTTACAAAAAAATATATATTAATTTCAAACCAAAATAAACCAAATAAAACTAAAACAAAAATTCAGCTCCCCATACAGTAACTCATACAAGTACAAATTAAACAATTTCATATTTCTTTAACAAATTTACTTTGATCATTTTTTGAAGGAATTAATCGATCCAATGCTTTTATAATAATTTTCCAGATTATTCCATAGCCTCATACCTTTCACTGAAGTGCATCTGTCCTTCAAACTTGTTTGGATTTTTGTTTTAACAAACATTTGTAGTCCATCAAATTATAGCAGCTTTCCCTTTTAACAGAAATAGATTGGATGTTTGAAGGTAACACATTTTTATAAGCTTTATACATAAACTGCAGAACATGACATTCAACCAACTCATAAAATTTTAATAATTTTAATTGATGAAATTGTTTAATTGAATTAATTGTTGTGCACTCTGCATAGATTTCATTTAAGTTTAATTAACTGCACTTAAGCATTTCAAACTTTAAGTATGACTGATTGCTTTTTTGATAATACTTTGGCTAAAAACACAGCATAAAAACATACCACTGCTGCGGGTGCCCCACCTTACATGATGTAGACCTGTGGTGGGCATCCCTTATTGCCTCCTGTTGCCGAGATGGGGGACTTGGAAATGCTCTTTGTCGTCTGTCCCTTTGTCCGTCCCTTCGTTACAATTTCAGAAAGCTGTAACTTTCACATAGAAAGGCTAAATACACCAAATTGGTAGGAGTCATCCATGTTGCGTGCCTGACCATACCATACCATGTGGTCATATGAGATCACCAAAGCCCCGCCCCCTGACAACAGGAAGTGACCGAAACTTAAAAATGAAAATGTTACCATCAGAACCTTCTGCTGCAAAAACTATTTTGATCTGACTATTCTAGTTGTGGAAAACTGACCTGACTGCACATGTCAACCTGACATATTTCCACCTGGCTAGTTGCTAATATGTCAGGGATGCAAAATTGGTTTGTTATGTTTTTATTAGAAACTTTGAAAAAGCACCAAATTATCGAATGCCTTGATGGTCAAAACTGTAGAAACCCAGGGTATTTCAGTGTTTGCTTATTTTAATGTTTGTTTATGTTCATCACGGACGTACAGTAAAACGTCTCTGCACATGCCAGTGCTTCTATTCTGAATAAAAGCCTGGTGCAATGCTCATCATGATTTGATAATTCATGTTGTGCACATATAAATGATAAATTTGGATTATTTAATCCAAATACATTTCAATCCAATTAAATGATTTTGCACAGTTTCCACCTGAAGTTCTACATTTTTGCTTCCCAAAAATGGTGGGAATCTGCATGGCAACAACTGCCTCAACAGATTCTGGGTGTTCTATATCACCTAGCCTAGCATGCTACATTTCCTTCTGTTTCACCACAGATCTCATTTCAGACATCATGTTTAATGTATTTGATGTTCAGGAGGATTAAGTCAGAGGGATGGCAGGATTTAAGACACAAACAAAAGAACAGGAAGGGGTTTGAACTTGGAGTTTCCAAATAAATCTCAGGTACTTTTCAAAGTAAGAGCTCAGCTCTTTTGTAGCTTACATTATTACAAAATGAAGTCCCAAATTCCAGATGGGCATCAGAGAAGGAAGTTGGTGTTTCAGGCAGACCTCATTAGATAGGAAAAATTGGGGAGGATTTTTGTGTATAATTTTTTTGATTTTGTAGTTGTACAGCGAACATGTACTAGCTTGTTTTTGTATCTTGACTCTGAAGCCATCAGAACCAGGAGGCACACTGCCATCCCCTTAGCAGCTGCGAGGGTTGAAATTGCCTCATGTAACCATGGCCGACACCAAAACTGGACTTAGAAATGGGGACTGTGAGGCAGCACGACAGCCCAGTGACATCACCATCAGTTCAAACATTAACCCTGCCCACGGCCTGCGGAGGAAGCACCTGCTGTGGCAGACGGCAGTCAGGAACATCATCGACCAGCACAACCTGTACTCCCTGAGGCTGGCCGGAGGACTGGAGAGGGGTCGACACCGCATCACCGTCACTGACGCCTACATCGCAGACATCAACAGGTACACAGTGATGTCATCACAGGTACACTGCAGGTAAAAAGCTTAACGGTGAGCCTCTGTTTTTGCCTTGCAGGCAGATTCGAAACAAGTCATCACGTGGGACTTTCTGGCAGAAGCGTCGCTCGTCTGCGGCACGCATTCATCCAACATCAGAGAAGATCTCGGCGGAACACCAAACCAAACAACGCTCACTTACCGACTCTGACTTCTTTGTGTCATATGGGTCAACGGTCCGAGGAGTCTTCATTCCCACGCTAAAGCTAACGTTCAAGTACGGATTAACAAACAAGCCTGCACAAACATCAAATTCATAAAGTAAAGTGTTTAATAATCGTTGTGGTCCAAACTCTTCAGGTCTGAGGAGTTCGAGCAGCTCTACCAGCAGTTTTCTTCAGCTCAGAGAAGAACCTCGCTGGTCGTCACCAACCTTATTGACATCTTCACCCGACTCTTTGTCTCGCTGCTAACATGGCCAATGGGCTGGGGGGGTGTGGCCTGTGATTGGCTGACGAGCCTGACGGTTGTCCTGTGGGCGGGGATGTTCTTGCTGTCGCTGGTTAAGAAGGAGATGATGATGTCACCTCAGGGGCTCAGGTATGTTGAGAAGCCCTGAAGCCCTGTTTTATTTAGTCCGGAGTCAGAGTGTAGTCTCGCCTGTTGGTCCTCTCTTAGGTTCCTGTCAATGGTCAGCTGGGCGTCTCAGACCGTCCAGGTGTTGGTTGGAGTTTTCACCTGGAGTGAGATGAATCACTCCTGGTACGTATTTTTTACGCTGTTCTCAACCTACACACTGCTGCCCCTCCCACTTCTCTGGTCCATCGTTGGCGGCGCAACCACCTCAACCCTGCATCTCCTTGTGGACGTCAGCAAAAACTACAGCGACCAGATTGTCATTAGAAAGGTTTGGAAACTTTTCTTTCTCTGTTTCACCTGTAAAGGGGATTTTTTTAAATTGATTTGTTTTTAATTTAATGTTTCATTTTATTT